GAGTGCCTTGACTGGGATAAAGATGATGACTTAGACCATAAAAAGGGGGCAGCAACAGGATTACACCTAAAAAGCCTTATTAGGGTAATCAAATCTTGTGGTGTTTCTTTTGATGTGTGGGAACAAAGAAATGCAGATGGGAAAGGTAGCGGGAAACATGACTGGACAAGTCTCCTTGGAAAAGACAAAAAGATCCTTTTAGCTGACCTTCCCAGTAAGCTACATAGCATTCTCCACCCAGAAACAGCATCAACTGTGGTTGCAGTCTGGACAGAGTTTGCAGAAATTTACAAAGTTGTCAATGACTGGAACCCTGAGAAAGACCCCACAGAATTTTTCATGAAAGCCAAAGAGTGGATTTCTCTTTTTGTCAGTCTAAATGGCAAAAGAGAAGGGTATGAGAAAGCCAGAGTTACCCCATACATGCACATTATGGTAGCACACATTCCCAAGTTCTTTGAGCTCCACCACTCAGTCAAAATATTTACAGGGCAAGGAGTTGAAAAGAACAATGATGTAGCACGTGCAATAATTCTGAGAAAGTCCAACAAGTGGGATTCTGCAGGAGATGTTCTGCGACAAGAGCAACGTCAGTGGGAGCTTAAAGAACACGAGCGGGAAGTACACAATTACATGAAGCGCAAGGAGAGCTACTGGGATGTTGAAATTAAAGAAAACCGAAAAAAGGCACGAGTAAATTTAAGTCAAGATCCTCTCCAGCAATCTATTGAAGCTCAAAATGAACATCCCCTCCCTGAGTCCACTACCACTGACACTAGCTGTTCTCATATGACAGTGAAGCAATTGAAAGAAGAATTAAAGAAGAGAAATGCGAGAGGATTCAGCAACAAAACCAAGGCTGAACTAATTAAACAACTGGAGGAAATTTGTCAATGAGAAAATATGGAATATTTAGTATTCTGGGAGCATGAAATGGCTTTAGTTACTCTAAGGGGGGACTCCCTTACACATTCAAAATTATATAAACAAACTCACATGAAAAGCTACATGACAAGCAAAGAGTGCAGTGAAAACACATCAACTCAACAAAATTATGATTAAATTTGTAAATAAAAGCAATTTCAAGCAAATTCATACTGTGGATTAAGCCTAGGGTTATTAGATAGGGGCCATGTATATTTTGTACATTCAACTCACTTGTTGGTCATATTCTTATCAGCTTTTGCATTCAGGTGGAACCCCTTACAGTCCTTAAAGCCATTTACAGTTAATTTCAATTTCACTTTCTGTTTATAATATCTATGATTGAATAGTTACAGGTTGGCGACTGAAATCAATTGATAGTTTCTCAATTAACATTCTCTGATCTTCTTGAATTTTCCCATTTATAATAGAATATGTTTTTGGTGATTTTGCTAAAAACAATCTAATTTTAAATGGATATTTAACCCTTACCCCATCCCCATTACAATCAATAACCCTATCCCAGTTTTCTGGTAAATCACATTTTTTAAAATCATCCTTATCTAACAAAGTATACCCCTTCTCCCTTCCCTCCCTTCCTTTACCATAAAACAAAAAACGAAAACAATCATGATCAAAGTCCAAAATAGCATTAGACCTTGATTTACTTCTTAATTTAAAGAGGAATGATAATCTCAGATTATCAACGTTTCGAGTTAGCCTCTCTTTATCAACAATTGGCTTGTCATAAGTTCTGTAAGAAAAATAATGAAAATGGAAACATTGTAAGAGGGGTTGTCTATGAACAAGTAATACTCAAAGCAATGCAAAGGCAGAAGAAAAAGAAAAGCAGCAATCACTGCGTGTATTATTGGTGAAAAAAATTAGTTAAGTATAAACCTTTCTATGAATGAGCTTATACGAGTGCATCTCTCTTGTTAATTCCGTATTTCAGCATGTTCAATTGTAATGGTAATTTAAGTACAGTTTGAAAAAATGATACAACAATAAATACCTAATAAGATCGGTAGTCAAGTTATCTTCATCTTCCCAACTATTATGAAACGCGCTGTATCCCTTCCATTTCACCAAATATTGAACCTGAAGATTTTAATTATAAAACTTCAGCATGTAAGAAAATTAATGACATACATCGTAGACCAGGGCAAATTGTGAACTCACCGTTCCATGTGATGTCCTCCTCGAGATTAACCTTTCCACGGCAAAATAATCAGAAGAAACATTAGCTTTCCTTTTTCTACTTTTTTTTTCATCCCAAAGAAGGTCCGCAGAAGAAACATTGTGTAATTGAAGAAATAAACCGCGGCTATTCTTGCTCGAATCCCTTACGCCGCTCGCCATAATTTGCTGTATGTAATCTGATGCAAGAACGCATGCGTAGTAGGAATTTTTTTGGATACACGAGCCCCCGTTTCAAACCGCTGACTGTCACAGATTTCTGGCCATGATATGTAAATATCAACTGCGGTGTCGCTATCGAAAATTCGGGAAAGCAGTTAACAAATTCCATTCCTTTCGGCAGACAAAAATAAATGAGTTAAGGCTCAAAAGAACACAATTTTCACATCAAAAGAGCCCGTCATAGGTAAGGAACTTTTCAGCGATGAGTAATAATTGAACTGGAATTGGAAATCTTCAAACACTTCACAGTTTAATTCGAATGACGTAAAAGATGTAAATCCTTTCTCGTTGTTGTTGTTTTTCCGTCGTTTACAACAGTGACTGTTGATTACCATGAAGCCATCGCAGATCGCGCGTTCGCAACCTCCGGTATCCATTTTATAGTACTCGCTATAATATTGCCGTGTCACCTTTGCGCGGAATCAAAACTATAACCAGGTGAGTTGTCAAAGCTCGATCTTGCAATGACTTTGGTTAAAAAAACAAAAGTTAGGAAATAGTAACCAACAGTCAAATTGTTCAATCATCCACGGTGGAGGCGGGACCAAGGCAAAGAAAACTGAATGTTCAATGAAACGTGTTCAAGGAAAACGTAATTAAGAGAAAAAGATACTTTATAAAATGTTTAGACGAGAAGGAAAAAGGGAAAGCAACAAAAGCCTGTGTCCAAATGGCAGGACATCATGTTTGAATTTATGATGGTACATGATAAACTAGGGCTTAAGCTTAATCACGTACTTATCAGACGGAAAATCAAAGAAAATTTATTATGATAGATGAAGCTAGGAAAACGTGAGCACAGCTTGTGTTGTATTGTGGAACTCATACTGACATGACAGTATGGTAATATGCTACAGCAAATTCGACACCGATTGCTTTCGTTTATAGCAAAATAATGAAAATCATTTCATGTTTTTGTTTCTCGTTATATAACAGAGGTAACCAATTTTAGACTGTTTAACACATCGCCGCCGATTCTATGTCAGAACTAAAATCATAAACGACCATTCATTATGTGGCTACCGATTTGACCAGCTAAAAGCGCGAGATAAAAAAAAAACCATCCAGAAAAAAAGGAAGAAATTGCTCTAATGGACTGCCGTAATCCCATGGTAAAGTAGTTTAATTATCCGAATCGGGAGCGGCTATATCTCAAAGATGTCCAAAGTCTCAAGAATATTCGCTTCAAAATCTTATTAACAATTGAATCTCAGTCTTCTGTTCGAAATATTGATATTTTGAATTGATAAAAAGTAGCTGGCGGTGCTGCACGAGCACCTTGCGACCTTCCAGCAAAATCTGCGAGAATCGATTCAGACCGCTTCGCCACCGGTTGGAGGTTGGCGGGTCAGGCAACACGCACACACTCTACGGACTCTGCGAGAAGCACTCGAGATTCAAATGAAGCAGTGCTAAGAGAGTAAGAGACTGGTCGCACGCCATTGTTCTGAGAGAAATTTTCACTGTTTAGTTTCCTTATGTTTGTGGGGCCGCGCTGCTAAAAGTAGCTTCCGCAGCCTACGTAGATGCATCTACACCACATAATTAAGAAGGGCGCCATAAATGCTGCTGTGCGCTCGATTAACAGTCTCTGTCTCAGTATACTAGAAACATGTCATCAAGATGAATTTGACATTGAGTTTTGAACAGAAAAAAAACGGACAAAAATGCTATGATGCACCCTTCTTTCGCGATATTAGAACTTTATAGTACAGTTTCGGTTTTGGTGATTAGCTATGCATTTATGAAATAAATACGAAATGCGCATGTGTCTCACTGCTAAGGTAGTATGAGGTGGGAGCTGTATTTCGTTGAGAACTTCGTTTCTTCGGGGATGGCAAGATCTTCAGTTTTAGTATTAATTCTCGACGGTTCTCGGCTTCTACGAAATTAATTAGAAGGAACGTCGGCGTGATGTAAACATTTTAATATTGCAATCACATTTCTCTCAATAAAATAAACGCCCTTCCTCTGATGAGCACCTTGTTGAGTGAGCCTTGAAATATATTAGTGCTAAATCTAATCAGAGCGGCAACAGTTATGCAAATTTCGGAGAATTCAGCTTCCACTGATTGCCTTTAGTCTAATAATTAGTAAATTAAATTGTTATCTTCAGCGATTTGCAGCTCGAAAATACATAAGGAGAAAAAGAAGTACGGAATGTCTTTTCCTTGTTTAATTGCAAGCCACTAGTTAGATAGCTTTCTTTAAATTTGTTTTAAACATGTCTGGTTTAATATGTGCATTGGTGTTCAAACAAAAAGAAAATTTCATTTATAAGATATAACGTCGCCTAGTTTCCAATATCATACTTTTCTCACACTAGTCTAGTAAGTCTATCTCTGCGAAACAGATATCACAAGTTAAATATATGACGAAAAACCCGCTGCCACGACTTGTATCATGCATTTAGATTTTGGCAACGTCCATTAAAATGCATTAAGTAATCATAATTTCCTGGGGAATACGTTTTTCTGTAGATATGCGTGACTTTTAGTCAAGTCCGACTAAGCATTTAAAGAATTTTCACTATCCCAGGTTCACAGTCACATTTAAAATAACAATCAAAATCATAGCTGCAATCCAAGGAAACTTATTGTGGTGTATCTTAGAAAGCGTCCTCGAGTAAATCACAAGTTTAATCGCGTCTTGAGTCAGTTAGGTTTAGACATAGTCTGACCTATGTCTTCCTCCTCAGTGGCTTGCCATGCCGCCTTCCGCACTTTTAGTAACACCAGACTATTTGAAACGGTGCCTTTTCTTTTTCCGGAAAACTCTTGTCTTTTTTCTTCCCTCCTAAAGTGGTGAGCGCTTTCTATTCGTTTTCCTCCAGCAGAATCGTCAGCGGCAATGTGTGTTGCAACCACTTCGAGAGAATGAACCTTAGAAAATGGGCGTAACTGTTCCCGAATTTTTTGTCTTTTCGTCTCATTCAGTTTATCATGCCCTCCTTTTGTTTCCTCTCCGCTTAACTGATCGAAAGCTTCAACTCCACATTTAGACATTTGTCCTTCCCAGCTTAGCTGTTTTCCATCTGCATAATAACTGGCCTCATGAACCCTTACGCTTTCACTTGATAGAATAGTAAGTGCATTTCTTCGTTTGCTTGCATACGTTTCTCCCGTTGGGTTTCCATCCAATTTGACATCACGGCTATTTTCTTGTTCAACGCCATCTCTATTTCCTACGAGCACTCGAGTGTTATTCAAGTTTGGCCTCTCTTTGTAGTCGCTTGATCCAAAAGGGTTTTTTATGAGCTGTTTGAAAGCTGAACGGCAGCGTCTTGTTCTTGTGTAGTAGATAATCGGATTCACTGCGCTCGAGAAGTCAATGCTGTAACGAGCAATAAAAGAAAACCAAACATCGTTGTCATCTTCTTCATAAACCACTGCTGCAAACACGATGGCAGGAATAAAGCAGAAGAAGTAGGCAGCTATTGTAATGGCGATGGTTTTAGTCGCTTTTACGTCCTCCCTCAATCGGACTTCAGCTTGAGAGGAAGACAAATTCATTTCTTTTCTCTGTAAATAAGTAGAGGACATCAAGTACGAATGAGGCATCACTAAACTGTAGTATAAAGAGTGGCATTTAGGCAATAAAGATAAAGTATTTTTTGACTACATAATTAAAAGCTTTTGAGCAATTATCACCGATGCTTTATCAATCGTTTAGCCAAACTACGTTTTAAACTATCTTTAATAAAGCTTAAAATTTCGTCCAAATGCTGTTTTGACGAAAAACTCAGAGAATGCTTGCGGCTGAAAAACTTCATTTATTTCAAAAAGCCTTCTAAAAGAAAGAAATCTCGCGGTCCATTGGTTGCTTAAAGCCGCAGCCATAGTCGGACTTCGACTGAAGAACCGGATGTTTGTGTTGCTTCAATTTAAGCGCACAATTCTCAAATCAAATTCAGCATATTGTTAATGACGCCGAGAATTCTATCTCTTTGATCAGTCAAATCATACCTAATATTTCCTGCGACTACAAAACATAGAAGAAAAAAAATCTCTACCTTCATTCTCTTCCTCCTTATCGCACAAGCTGTCAGGAAAGAGACCAAAGCACTACAGATAATGAGGATCGACGTGCCTGCAGCAACAAAATACTTTGCTTGTTCGAAGATCTCTGCTCTGTATTCGCTGACATGAGCATTACCAAGATCGATATTGAGTAGAGGCAATGCAAACAAGGTCGCCATAACGATACACGCGAACCAGATGAAAATCACACAGATCAGGGCTTTTTTCTTCGTCTTCCAGGCGAGATATCTCAAACCAAAGGAAATGGCCAGGTACATATTTATCATCATGGCGAGCATGGAGACAAGATTCAACATCAAAAATAACCGATTGAGACTGCTGCTGATGATAGCCAGAATCTTTCCTCTAAACCAACTCGCCTCCCAAACGTAACTAATCATATGAATGGGCACGTTTATAGCTGCGCTGAGAAGGTCCACAACAGCGAGATTGGCAAGGAGAATGTTTGGAACTGTTCGCAAAGATTTAAAGCGACCAATGACCGTGAGAACAAAACCATTACTAAGCAAGGCAGCTGAGGCAAGAAGGCTTACTAACAAAATCATAACAACCCTAACAATCAGCGGTTTTTCTTCGTGCGTTTCTCCGTGCATTTTTTCTGTAGTTTAACCCGAGGTAGAATGCTTAATGCCGTGTGACAGGACACATGTACAACATATGTAACATGTGAAACTAACTGCCCATGGAAATTTTGTTTCCTGTGACAATAATAGAGAAAAAGAGAAAAGAAAAAAAGCAATCTTTGTTAAAACGGTCTTTTCCGGACTAAACTTTTGTAGAGGATCAGTAACACCGAGATAAATTTACAGATTTAACCAAAATTCAATATTCAATCATCATTCTCAAAATGGGGAATTTCTTCCTGCTTGCCATGGCCTAAAAATCATATCTATAGAAGTTGCCAATTTTTCGTTTTATTTTGTTGTTTTGGAAATCCCTTCATGACAATACTTGAAAGAAAAGGATTATTTCCATGACCTGAGTCAGTCGAAAACGTTTCTTAAATTAAGCCGAAAGTCGACAACATGACATCGTTCATTTCATAAGTGCAAACGTGAAGCCCGCCTCATCGAACACTTGATAGTAATGATAAAAAAAAATCGGGAAAAACTTTTTAAAATGTTAAATTGGACGGAAGATTTAAGTAATAGCACATATTAGAAATGATAGTCCAACGGTTTTAGCATTTCCTTGAATTATATAAAGATAACAATATGTAAATACTGGAAAGTGATATCAACTGAGGTGTTACTATCACGTGTCGTTCTCGAAAATTCGAAAAGCAGTGAAAAAATTCCATTCCTCACGGCAGACTAAAATAAATTAATAAAATAACCAAAAAATCACATCAAAAAAGCGCGTTGTAGGTAAGGAACTTTTTAATAATGAGAAATCATTGGACTGGAGTTAGAAATCTTCAAACACTTCACAGAAATTTATTTCGAATGACGTAAAAGATGTAAATCTTTTTTCCGATGTCGTTTCTCCGTCGTTCACAATAGTGACTGATAATTACAATGAACCAACCGCAGATCGTGCTTTTGCAGCCTCCGGTTTCCTTTTTATAGTATTCGCTATAATAATGCCCTGTCACCTTTGTGCGGAATCAAAACTATAACCAGAAACCTTGGGTGAGTTGTCAAAAAAACAAAAGTTAGGAAATAGTGGCCAGCAATGAAATTGTTCAATCATCCGCGGCGGAGGCGGGACGAACACAAAAAAACTGGAGATCTCATAGAGGTTAAAATTTGGTGTACACCTTGCTGCTTCCCTATGTTTGTTCGGTTCCTGGACTGGAGACATACGTCTCTTCTAATGAATGTGTGTATACTTGTTGGACTACTATAAAGCTTTTCAAAATCTTCTAGTGCATTTGAGCAGATCTAAGCTACGGCCGAACACATTTTTCGATAGTTGCATTCTACAGCACCCGCTAACAGTAAAGTTTGTCAAGGGCTCCTGGAAAACAATTTTTGATTGTTTAACACCTACCTTCGAGTCAGTCGACAATCATGGTTTGATACAAAAAAAACAAACAAACAAAAAACTGACCGTGTGTGGGGTCAACAACACTGCATTTTAGCCAGACCTCTCTTATTTCCATCTTTGTGCTTTCAAACCAGTTATTATTTTTGGGGCATGAAATTAGCTTTCCGAGCATCATCGATAAAATAAACACGTCAAAATAAGGAATAGGAGGGAGGGCTTTTGAGTGAACATAATCATAAAAAACGATTTTTTAAGCTGTGTTAACACATAGGTAGGCTCCTCTAAATGGCTTATGAGCGGAGAGACTTTAAAACCAAAGTCAAATTTTCCTACGGAGACAGATGGAGCTGTGACTGGGGAATCAATTTGCATCGGGGGGATTATTTTACGGTAAGCAAACAGTTCTTAAATTAAGGAATTTCAATATCCTTGTCCTCATTAAAGGAAGGATGAGGACTTTGAATCAAACGATGTCAACATTAGGCTAAGCTTTGAATTGCTCATTTTTTTGTAAGAAGAGAAGATATCCTGACCAAAATATTTTAAGCAAAATATTATGCTTATACAGAGCATCATAGAGGGCTATACCTGAGCATTAGGGTTGGCTATCTAGCAAAGAGGATTCATGAAGCAGTCGATCGGTGGAGTCACCGTTTATTGAAATACCACTGCGATCAAGGATATTTAAACATCCGTTAGCACATCAACTGAATGTCGTTTTCAAATTAAAACACAGCTTATGCTGGTCGGCAGCCATACAACTCCATCTTTAGAGCTATTCCATCCCTCCAGGTCTTCGGGTACAAGCGGACATAACGGGTAAAAATGGGGTTGTCGAGTTCAACCTTAGCTACTTTGTAAGGGTCTGTGTTTCCTTTAAAAACCTTTCCAATGAAGATAATCAATTATTACTTAAGAAGACTTTAAATGAGTGGATACCATGGCGCTGACAGTCCTGAAACTAATGCGATTTACTCGTAAAACGACATTGCATCCCCAGCAATCTACCTATAACCTCTTTATACAACTCATTGGCTGTCATTTCGAGCTGCTTTCTCAGAAGATTGAGAAATGGTTCTGTATTTTCCCCCCAAAAAAGGCGTTGACCTGAAAGATTTGATCGATGGTGCAAGAAAGTTCCTCGTGCCCTTTCGCAGGTATTTTTTTGCATTCTCTTGCTGGAAATTATAATTAGGGTATGAAATGGTCTATCAAAACAGAGGAAGCCGATGAATGAAAATCAATGCAGGGAATGGGAACAAAATATCCTCAAAAATAACCGAAAGAATAAATTGCAACAAGCTAGAACGAGATTGTGAACCTTTCCGGGGACAGGTAACATATGCGAATAACAAAAAGTGGAAAAAAGGCGATGTGGAGAAAAAAAACTAAAACAATATGAATAATTTAAGAAATAAAATTGACAGTTGAATACGAAATGCCTACCATTTCCTTTTCACCGTTCGCCTTCTTATAAGTACTCCAATGAATCCCGTCCAAAGAATATGCCAACTTGTAAGTTTTGACAAACAAAGAGAACCTCTTGCCCTGAGTGGCTACTCCTCTCAACCAGGTGAGCTTGTCGAGATCCACCTGAATCCATGGATTTGGGTCACTTGGGAGTGCGTACCAGCTTTCCTCGGCTCCACTTTTGAGTCGGGCGAGCCAAGGTGGATATCTCGAGTAATAAGAACTGGCCGTGATGGATTGGTTACTTATGTGACCGTTCTCCATTCCCAGAGGTATGGAAATGTTGCATTGTTTAGCTATGAACCAAAGGATCCATGTCAATATCTGAGCAACTTCGCACCAACCCTTCCCCCAAACCAAACAAAAGTCAACTCATAACAAGTTTGGGTTAATGCTGGGTTAGGGGAGGGGCAGGTGCGCAGTTTTTCATATAATGACATCTATCCCAATAAATAAACGGACACTTTCAGAACTACAGCATATTCACTCCAAACTTTTATTGTTTTAGTGAGTCACTCATAATCCATATTATTTGGTGATAATTCTTCCCACAGAATAAATACATTTGAACGTTTGTTTTATTTTGTTTTGTTTTCAAAAGTATTTATATGGTAATCATTCAGGGCCAAGTTCTTCAAAACAGAAGTAGTACTTATTCATATTAATGACACTGAAAACGTAACTTTTTGTAAACACCTTACCTAGGGTCGGTGCTCATCGAGGTTCGAGCTAGCTGATGTCCCTTGACTTTAAACAGAGGCAGGTTTTTTTTTTCTCGTTTGAATGAGTAAGTCATGAATAAATCTCTTCTTTCTAAAATTGTCATTTTCGGTCTCAAAAAATCTCAATTGAAGTCTCCCAGTAGAACAAGTAATCAAACGTTTACGGTTGGGACGCGGCAATTATCGGTATTAGTCAAAACTAGATTTCTCTCCTTTCAGTAGTTGAGGGGATACAACTTGGTCTCCAATTTTCCATATTTTGATATGGTGCTTACTGCTTTTTCCTCAATTTTCTCAGATATAGATTCTTCTTCTTTTGTATCCAGCGTATACAAAAGAAAAAAAACCGACCAAATGAGGGCAACCTTAACCAATTGATCCTAATAGGACACGAACTTAAAATAACGTTAAGAAGACGCTTGATAAAGGATGAGTTAAGGTCAGCTCGAGAATGTTTTAGTCCAGAATGACCCAAACTGAAATAATAAAAAAATTAGTATTCATTTTACCGTTGCATTTATAGAGTGAAGGTTCAGGCTCGTATCCACCTTTACACTTGCAACTGTAACTTCCAAAGTTGTTTTTGCAACTGGTAGTCTTTTCCTCGCACTTGTGATTGCCTGCTATACACTCATTTATATCTGTGGATTAAACTCACCAGCATAAATAAAACTCGCTTGTAGGAGACAAAAAAAGAGATCGTTGGGAAATTTTCATTACATAGGATAATTTATCAAAATTCAGATATCCAGACTCAGTTGATAAAGTTTCTTGGGCAGTTTCTAAGTTAGACATCATTTTTTATTACGGAAATAACTGATCGGGATTTTTTCCGTTATAGTGCAAAGAACGGGGCTCTTTTTTTTCTCAGTTTCTTTCTAATAGTAAAAACAATTACCCTGACACTCATAAGATGACTGGCCAGGCTGATATCCTCTCTTGCAGGGGTATGTGTAGCCTCTAAGATTGTTTTTACATGTGGTAGTTTGACTGTGACATTTTTGTTCTCCTGTACTACACTCATCAACATCTAAATGAAGTTAATGTGCCAAGTTCTTCAAAACACAAGTGGTACTCATCCATATTAATGGCACTGAAAACGTAACTTTTTGTAAACACCTTACCTAGTGTCGGTGCTCATTGAGGTTCGAGCAAGCTGATGTCTCTTGTCTTTAAACAGAGGCAGGTTTTTTTTTTCTCATTTGAATGAGTTAGTCGTGAATAAATCTCTGTTCTAAAATTGTCATTTTCGGTCTCAAAAATCTCAATTGAAGTCTCCCATTAGAACAAGTAATCAAACGTTTACGGTTAGGACTCGGCAATTATCGGGATTAGTCAAAACCAGATTTCTTTCCTTTCAATAGTTGAGGGGAGAAAACTTGGTCTCCAATTTTCCATATTTTGATATGATGCTTACTGCTTTTTCCTCAATTTTCTCAGATATAGATTCTTCTTCTTCTTTTGTATCCAGCTTATACAAAAGAAAGAAAAACCGACCAAATGTGGGCAACCTTAACCAATCGATCCTAATAGGACACGAACTTAAAATTACGTTAAGAAGACGCTTGATAAAGGACGAGTTAAGTTCAGCTCGAGAATGTTTTAGTCCAGAATGACCCAAACTGGAATAATAAAAATAATAAATGTTCATTTTACCGTTGCATTTATAGGGTGAAAGTCCAAGTTCGAATCCATCTTTACACTCGCAACTGTAACTTCCAAAGTTGTTTTTGCAATTGGTAGTCTTTCCCTCGCACTTGCGATTTCCTGCCATGCACTCATTCATATCTGTGGATTAAACTCACCAGCATAAATAAACCTTTCTCGTGGGAAACAAAAAAAAGAGATTGTTAGAAAATTTTCATTACGTAGGATAAGTTGTCAAAATTCAGATATCGCGACTCAATTGATAAAGTTGCTAAGGCAGTTTCAACGTTAGACATAATTTATTGTTTAAAGATCCTTTTGGAGACCCTACGGAAATAACTGATCGTGGTTTTTTCCATTATAGTGTAAAGGACGGGGCTTTTTGTTCACAGTTTCTTTATAATAGTAAAAACAATTACCCTGACACTCATAAGCTGACTGGCCAGGCTGATATCCTCTCTTACAGGGGCATGTGTAGCCTCTAAGATTGTTTTTACATCTGGTAGTTTGACTGTGACATTTTTGTTCTCCAGTACTACACTCATCAACATCTAAGTAAAATAAATGTGCCTGGATTAGCTCTTTTCATTATTTTAAACCCCAAGAGGTGGACGAAAATGCTCGCTAGCAGGTTATTTGCATGACAAAACGAACTGAATTTTTTTCTTTTTTTTTTTACCTTATTGGACAAAACGATGACCCGAAGCCATTTTTTTTTTCGATTTTGGCAGAACTATTCAGTCACCTGCCACTGACGCTTAGCTTGGGGAGAAATACGTGACGTGACAAATTGGCCAGCGTAGTCACATGTAGTTAAAACGTAGCTGTCGCAGCCCTGACAAAGGGCTAACGCTCGAAATGTCGGCTTTAAAAACTCTTTGATCAAATCAAACTGTCTCCACCGACGTAACACAACAGTTTCTTTAGAAAATTGCCTCTTTTACAAAAGTGCAGTTAAGAAAAACTAACATGAAATTCAACAACCATCATCTGAGAGGACTCTGATAAATTGATGTTAGAGAGGTTTATCGAAAATATGGTTATATCGAAATATGTACAGTGAGTCTCCGGACTGATATCCCATTTTGCATTGGCAGGAATAACTTCCAAGTTTGTTGCTACAAGTTGTAATCTGCTGTTCACACTTGTTTACTCCATTAACGTATTCGTCCAAGTCTAAGAAACCAAATGAAGAGAATACGTGAATGTATCATTTGTGTGAATGTAATACTCCGTAGCAGAAGAATTTCACGAAGAGTAATCTCAGTGACATTCTCTGAGAAATGCTGTTTTTTCGAGATAGTGCCAGGGCCCTAAAGCAAACCACGACAGAGCCAACGACGAAGACGTGGCAAAACAAAAGACCTAATGAACAGAACAACAGCTCAGCACGTGCACTTTAAAACCTTGTGTACTTTTATTAGCTCTTCTCTGAAAACAACAACGTGTAATGACAAATTTTTGGTGTTCTGAGAACGGAATTCTGTTGCCAAATTACTTTCATTTTCCATTTGGAACTCATAGCTGTTCGCTTACAGTATGCTGAAGTTGACCTGTGACACCGTAAGAGACGGGAAACACTTCCAGCCATTTGTGAAATTCTAACTAAAATAAAAATTCGTTTTATTAATCGACGTCCTCCTCGGCGTGCCTTAAGCGAGCAAAAACCCTCGGGAAAGGGAGTCTGTAAGCCCACATATTGATCACTGGTGACGCCAAAACACAGGGAAACAGATGATAACTTATAGCTGTGTTTCGATTGATGATGATCGCGTATACTTTGTTTACATAACCGTTATTCGCGAACTTACCTCTACACTTATAGCGGCCTTCGAACTTAAATCCCGTGCGACATGCGCAGTTGTATCCACTTCCTGCGTCAATACAGAGATGCTGGCACAATGCCAGACCAGCTCGGCATTCATTTTCCTCTAAAAAGAAAGTCAGTTTAATCTCATCAACACGTGAAAAAAAAGTAGTGGGGTTTAATTTAAGGAATTTAGATGAGCAAAAGACTAAGATATTCGATCTGATAACGGATAAGAAGTTATTCAGACAAGTTCAAGACACGGAATGCCATTCTGAATTACCCTTGAACAATATTTAAGTTTGCCAGTAGCCTGCTTTATTAAAGTGATTGGCATTCTAGCTTTGATGCTTGGAAAAGGCAGATTTAGCTCGGACACTCTACCTTACCGTTGGCTGTAGTCCATCGATAAGCAGGTATCCACTTATTGAAGTAAAACTTATACAGAGGCGAGCCGCTGAAACGTACGGTGATCTACAGAAAGTAGACACAAGCTTCATTTTTCATTCACTTACGCAGTGATTTTAAATGAAATAAGGTTTCATTGGGTGTGGAATTGTTTTAAGCGCCACACTGCTCACCAATCCCATGGCGAATTTATTTTTCCTACTTTATGGATTAATTATAAAGGAATCAGAAAGTCCTTTCCTAGTCTTGCTTCGAACATCTTTTAACCATTATTTTCTGTTTGACTTAAACTTTATTAAAAAGCAGGAACACTGCATGACACTGCTGTACCTAAAAACGGTAGCTGTCTTATTTGCGGGTGACTATGAAAGCTGCGCACAATAAATAGAGTCTAAAATTATCAGGAAAATTCTGTAATGATTGTAACAGCTTACCCGAGCTAGTTTCCAGTAAGGTCCAAATCCTGAATTGTCACGATGCACTTTTATAGTCTTCAAATGGCCTACTGGGCTTGCATCTCGATAAAATGTGTCTGTTCTAGAAACATAACATAAAAATCTATTTAAGTGCTTTATTGCCTTAGCAAAGGTAATGGAAGTTACTCAGGGCTTTAACCGATACCAACAAAAATTTCTAGTCATTCATTTGTAATCCGAGTTAATGTTCTCAACACCCAACTGTAAACGTTCTTCATTCTTTGATCTTGAATTGTCTACAGTGGCAAAATTATATTCAATCTTTTTCTTATTTTTCCAGCGTTTCCCTTATAATGGCATCTTTTAATTGGGTATCATAGAACTAAAAGCGGTCATATCTTCGAATGATTAGAAGGAAAGAAGACACCCGTAAGAACCGATGAGAACTCAGAGTAAAACTATGGAAACTGCCCAAAGCGCGGGAAAACTCGGATAATTAAGAAACGATTGTGTTCCAGGTTTTGCATCTGATTGATTGAGAGACTGGTGCGAGTTTGTTTTTGAACAAATTATCTTTGCTCTTGAATTGTCTACAGTGACATTGGTAAAACTACTTCTCTTACTCTTTCTTGCCGAGCTACATCAAACACGTAGCGAGGTTAGGCAGACTGCATAATCCACTTAAGTATTACCTTACCGCTGCCGTGCAACCAATACTTTACCTTCCCCTTTCGAAGTCCTGCATTGAATTATGCAACTTTATGGAGCCAGTGGAAGCACCATTCACGCCAATAAGATTCACGTACACACGTGCATCAGTACCAGCAAAGGGTTCCTGCGATGTCGTCACTTTTATTTCATAATCTGCAGGCAAAAGAGATCCCTAACGCCCTTTGCACGAGAGTATTACGATCCCTGATTACGCCGAAAACCCACTGGGACTTGGCGAAAAGGAAATTCTGTTTACAACTTTCCTTAACTATGATTTTTATCATTAACTAAAGCTTGGCACGTGCAGGATTTGGTAACTAGCATCATTTGATGAAAAAACCTTGTGAATTAAAAACTGAATTCGCTTTGAAAATTGATCTTAAGATCTGCCAGCACTACTAAACCTCTGATATCCCATTTATTTTTCATACATCTACTGTGCAAAGTGTTTCTTCATGAAAAGTTAAGCCCTGTTGGACAAACCTCCACTCAAACACTGGAACAATCTACTTTTCTCAAACCTCCCCAACATTTTCAAGACACGTTTTCAATCCAAATGAAAAAGGAAAGTAAGACTCACTTGTCCCGTAAACATGAGCTCCATTTAAAACCGCTAGCAGAGATAGATATCGTAGCATCAACATTCCTTAATCACCAGCTTGTTCGTTTTAGTCTGACTTCTTACTGATTGTCATAAATGACTCGACTCAGTCTGCTGAGAAGATCTTCCTTTGAAGAAGTAGAAATCTGATGTTCACCTTTACTTTTATCGTTATGAGTAAGAATTGACGGAGCTGGATAAAATGTATACGCACTAGTTTTGGTTTGATTGACGACATAATTGTTTTTCTTGTTCAGTATTTGCTCGTGGCAACACCAATAAACCCAAAATTATTAAGGAAAACTAAACCTTTTTTTTAAATTCAATTCTCCTCAATATGACTTTGATTTGCAATTACATTGCATCAGTTATATGAGCCACTGTTCAGTAAGAATTTGGAAATTGATGAAAATCATTACTACTTCTTCGGTTGCTGCGAAGAAATCTGTCGCATAAAGATGACACAACGACATTTTAAACCAATGAAAACAGTCTTAAATTGCCAATTTCCTCAGCATATGTTTTCGATTTGTTGTATTGACCAAATTGAGATTGCTGAGTTTACATTGGTTTTTCTCATTTACAACTTTCATAATTTCAGTTCACATACTGCTTTGTAGTAAATTTCCTTCCTTATTTGAGGTTTATTCAAATTAATTTATTAATTTTCTTTATTTATACATTTTTTTACAATGGTTTTTTTTATTAAAGCCTTGTTTTTGTTAAATTTAATTGATTCACCTAATTCAATAATGAATGATTCAGTACAAAATTTCTGAACTTATGTAAACTAATCTTCACAACAACCAACACATTGAATATCTACTCGACAGGCCATAACCCTGCATGAATACTCTAAAATGGAACACTATCTAAGCCAGTTCTACTTTATGACACTCAGATTCATTCTTATTGTTTGTCCAAGAATGTTGTTCAATAGAAAATTGAATTTTAATTTATAAAGTGAAATGCAATGACGTGTCATAACATTTTTAACAACAAAAAAGACTTCGTCAGTGCGTCATGTTTCGTACGAAAATATGCTTATTGTTCGTTCAAACTAAGGCGAGGAGACGAGGAGACACACTACTTGCGATAACACCAAAGTCTTTGAAAAAAGGCTCACACAAGACCATCTTTCTTATTCTATTCACAAACAAGACGCTATCGACATTGCTGATCCTAGCAGTATGCAGGACCCGTGTCATATGAACTTCGTAATAGACCCCTAGCTCACCGTAAAGTCTCTTTGTCCCATGCTCGTGACAAGACGAAAACCATATTTCTCTATTTCTTTACCGAGCTCAAACTTTACTATCTTCCTTTTTTTTTTTTATTTTTACAAATATCTGGGTATAATTCGAACTGGTTGATTTTACACAATCTTAAACAATCTTAATCATGAAATTTTCACGTGGGCCGGTCAAGTAAAACTATTCGACTTTCGAGAGGGTTTAAAACAGTGGTTCATAAATATGATGACTTTTGCTACTGGAAATTACTTCTAAATTACCAAGAAAGAATGCCAGACGCCACTGAGTTAAAGAGTATACTTATAACCGATGTCATTTACGTAAAGAACTTCCTTTCACTTGGATAATAGCTCTCGGAAATGTCTCTTGATTCAAGTGACCACTCGTCTTAAATTTTGAGTAGTGTGTTTCAAGAAAAGCCAGCCCATATATCGTAGCACTGACCCTGCCACTCAATTAATGATTTACATAAACGCAGTCTCAGGAGGATGCCTTTCACCATAAGATTGTGTTTGTGCACAGTTGCTTTCTCCGAACGCTTTAAACATCTCCAGTTCACGCGGGCGAAAATTGACAATCTCCTAGGGGAAGTGTCTTTGTTTGTTAATGAAAGCTTAGAAATTCAGCCATGTTCATAGGTCCCACAAAAGGGGAAATATATACCAATAAATTGTTGTGTTTGACAGTATTGCTCCGGAAAACATGAATTCACCCAATGGTCCTTGTTACGCTTTTGGCAACCTCTAGTGATCTTGAACATTGAAATTTTTACATTGTACCAAATCCTACTGGGCATGATAACGACCTTGATATATTTATTAAGCAATACTTGATGGAGCCAGCAACGTTTCATGCCCTTTTCAAGACATGAAAAGTGCTTTTTTCACTGCGACGACAAATTAAACCCCTATACTGAATATATTATAATGGTATTGTTATTGACGGACCAATATCCATTAAAATTTAAAGATCTTACCAGCACATACAAAAGATAAGTTTTTGGCTGCCAATTTGAATTCACCTTTTACAAGGACCTTAGCGAATAACAGCAGGCTGGTGGAAATACAGCTTACTTGTCAAAAGAGCTTGCTGACACTCTGAGACAGCTCCATTTAAGAGCAGTGAGGCAAGAAGACAGAGTTAAAAATTCAAGTGGAGAAAGGTAAGAGGAGCAAGAATGGCTGATTCAATTGAAAGATACTTTTTTGGGAAAGATAAAACTCCTGAACCCATAGTTGTCTTAATTAAACAGTATCCTAAATGCTCCCCCAATGGTTATCTCCATTATTGGCAACATTTTGGTGCTCGTCGCCGTATCGAGAACGCCTTCGATCCGTTCGCCAAGCAAAATTTTGCTGCGCAGTTTGGCTCTGTCTGACCTTCTCGTTGGCGTGGTAGTTCAACCACTGTACCTTGCTGCTTTCTTTAAAAAAAATTATTCTGTACTTAACGCATCAAGAACAATGTCTTTTATTGCAAGTGGTGCTTCTCTATGCACTAGCACAGTTATAGCGGTGGAGATAGACCACCCCCGGTTTTTCTTGGTTTTCACTAACGAAATCGTTTCAAAATAGGTAAAATGTATGAAGCCCTCACTGCGATGGTATTTAACCAATTACACTGAGAGTTTGCACACATATTTTTACATCATTAGTTAATGTCCACTGCAAGTATCAGTCAATTTGATTGCCGGCTTGTCAATCAACAGAAGCAAATAAATGACTGTGTTTTTAGACTTTTCTATTTATCTAAATATTTGACAACTTTGAGGTCAAATATCTCCCCTTGCCAGAAAGCTACAACAATGATCTTGATTTTCCTTTATAATCCATCATTTCATCTCTGAAAATCATCAAAAAAATCTTTGGGCACTGCTGTAATTTTGTCTTGGATGCCTTTTAAAATCTGCAACTGTCACAAGTTTCTCTCAACTACACCTGTCACGCAATTCTTGTTCTAGGCGGTCACTTGACCTGATAAAACCACATTTTAAAGCTCTTTATACAAGATGATTGATCAAGAAAGGTAAACATGTGAAAAACTTTCAAGTAGGAATGGAAACTTTCACGTTTAGAGAGATGCATGTAGGCGAAAAATCGATGGGAAAATCGTAGCGTTTCTCTCTTCTGTCGTTTATTACTTTGGAGATTTGCTAAAATCAGAAAATATGGCTTTTTTACGGCACAAAACATTTATTAGTCTATAATCTAATTAATAATCGTTATCATTGCTCATTTTAGGAGATTTTAAAGTCACACGCTGCGTGTTGTTTGACATTATTACAAGTTCCAGTGTGCTACAACTTCGGCTTTTACAGACGAGAAATTCTGCGCTCCCGCTTGAGAGCAAATATCAATAGTTTTACTAGACTAAAACTGTGCTTCTATCCCGAAAATAAAATTAAAATAGAGTTATCAATGTCAGTTACCCACATGGAACATTTCCAGTTTGTCTGCGCTATAAACTTGTCGCAGTCCTAAAGTCAGAGGGAGGATCGCCCACCTCTGTTTATGTGAGCGCCTCTACAGTACCTGCGTATCCCTAGCAGTCATATAATATAAAGTTCATGACAGTCACAAATCACCAGTTAGGAAAACTGATGTTAAGCTAAGCGCTCTTCTCGCCCTTCTTCTTTATTCATTGCCGACTCTAGGATAGTAGTGACAGTACGCGTTCTATTAGGTTTACAGTCACCTTGCCACCAAGAAGACTCGCCACCAGCTTTGATTTCTTCTGCCATCTTCAGATTCACCTCTCTCTCTCAACTTTACGTCTCCGATTTTTATGAGGAGGATGCTGGCATTTACGAACCCGAAGGTCTGAATCCAACACCAAGTTGTGCACGATATTTGAGGCGTGTCGTTAAATCACGGCCTTCGTAATCTCCAAATAAGCCAACACGTGCTAGAATAAGCTTCTTCTCGGACGAAGCGCATGTTTGGGATACATTGACGTCTCTCATCAATTATTATTATTATTATTATATTTTTTTTTTTAATGCTGTACATAATTTAGAGGTATGAGCTGTTGCCGTCCCTGGCCAGCGCGAGGAAATAACACTTGGTTCTACAATGATGAACAAGACAACTACACCATCTTGACTCTATCAATTCGAGTGTTAGGTTAAATTGAGGGCTTTTTAGACACTCGATTTCTTATATGGCATCACTATGAAGACGTAATACAACTGATTCACCTACACTACATAGGATTAACAATGTCTGTTGCACTGTTGTAAGAGGGAGGAAAATATTACCAGAAGTGTAAACTCTTTAAGAGTTTCAGAGACGTTTCAGAGATGTGTATCTTCGGCTATCACAAAAAAATTGACCCCCTCTTAAATTTACTGGGAAAAATGAACTTACAAACTCCTTGTTGAAAAAATTGGAATTCATTTGACCGATACGCCGGTAGTTTCAATTTTGTAATAATAATAATAATATTTGACCCCTCAACATCACTTAATGTCTCTAGTTTACAGAGGTCTTAGAAGGCTTCATTACATGGATTTGCCTTCTGCGGGTAGAAGGCTAAAACCGAATTTCTCGGGCGTAATTGCCTTGATTTTTCAATTGATTCTGTCGCAAACACAGCTTTTGGGAGTCACGAAACAAAAAAAACTTATCAGGACCTAGTTTAATGTTCTAATGGAAATAAAAAGCAAATAAAAACACATTCTCTTGAGAAACAAAGTTATAAATAACAGGGGTTCTTTGAAACAAATAGTGATAGAAAAGGTTTCAGTTCTATCTTGTCCATCGAGGTGACTTTCCTGAACATCACGTTTCAATCAAAGAAACAGGAAGAATTGAATGAGACTTTGTCGGTTCGCTTAAGTCACACACGCGACGCCAAGTGTCACGACAAGCCTTCGCTCGAGTGAAAAAGAAAGAAGGAAGAGAAATGAGGCGATTTATAGTTTCCATAGAAAATAACGGTGAGCTTGATTTTAGAAAAGGGAAAGTAACAAATTAATATTCTGCTTTATAATCATATGAAGGTGCATTAATTTTCAATGCTTTTAGCTCTAAATGTCATTGTGAGAAGACAGTTTTTGTAATATTATATATTTAAGATAAATATGACACTTGTGAAGCCCGCATCAAATGCCTTGATAAAGTCTAAAAAGAATCAGTTTTAAGAACTAATCCTGACACTTCCCAGTTTAACTGTGGATACCCAGTTTCATTAGGGATGTCCTTTGCGTGAGAATTCCAGTTTTAATTTTGGTTCGTATGGGAGAAACCCACGCTGCTCATCAATGCAGCTGGCCAACACATCATTCGTCATGTCTAATTATCAAACATTTAAAAAAAACATTAAAAAAAATCTAGATATCAACAATAGAAGATTGATATTCATTCGTAAACTCAGTCCGTTAAGTGCTCTTCATCATATTTCTGTTCGTTTAAGCGTACCCTCTTTCTTCCCCTCGAACTCCAGTCGTTTTTAACAGTGCCTGACTATATTGACGACAACCTGACTTACAATGGAGATAGAGTCCTCTGCTTGTTAATGAATGCACAGTAATAAAGTCAAAGATGACTTGGCCAGATGTCGCGCAAAACGAAAACGTTCAGTTTGCGTCTCAAGACTCCATCATTACATTCGCCAGCCATGATTTATATCAGTAATATTTAACTCAGCGGGACCATCTTATACTTATATTATTCAGCAATATTATTGTTGACAGACCTATTCATATTATAATGTAAAGATCTTCCTTGCACTCACAAATATAAGCTTTTGGCTACCAATTTGAATTCACTTTTTACGAGGACCTCAGCGAATAAAAGAGGGCAGGTGGAAATACAGCCTATTTGTCAAAAGAGCTTGTTGACGCTCTGAGGCAGCTCCATTTAAGAGCAGTGAAGCAAGAAGACAGTGTTACAAATTCAAGTGAAGAAAGGTGAGAGGAGCAAGAATGGCTGATTCAATTGAAAGATACTTTTTTGGGAAAGATAAAACTCCTGAACCCATAGTTGTTCTAAACAGTGTCCTGAATGCTCCCTCAATGATTATTTCCATTATTGGCAACATTTTGGTGCTCGTCGCCGTATCGAGAACGCCTTCGATCCGTTCGCCAAGCAAAATTTTGCTGTGCAGTTTGGCTCTGTCTGACCTTCTCGTTGGCGTGGTAGTTCAACCACTGTACCTTGCTGCTTTCTTAAAAAGAAATCATTCTGTGCTTAACGCATCAAGAACAATGTCTTTTATTGCAAGTGGTGCTTCTCTATTCACTATGACAGCCATAGCAGTGGATCGGTTCTTGGCCCTTCACTATCACATGCGATACGCAGCGTTAATGACCACAAGTCGTGCCAAGTATTCTCTAGTGGCCCTTTGGACCGCTGCCGCCTTGCTATCAAGCTCAGGTTTCCTGAATAGGAATGTCTATGAATCCACTGTAGCTGTTGCTATCTCTATTTCCCTTTTTATTTGCACCATTTGTTACATCAGAATCTATACCATTGCTCGTCGGCATCAAAACCAGATTCACCTTCAACAACAGGCGGTGGAAAGAGTGAATATCCAACGATCGAAAAAAGGTGCCAAGAACTCGTTTATCTATTACGCTGTGATGATTCTGTGTTACTTACCTTTGTTTATTAACATGTCACTTCCACCTGAGTTACTGGGATTAGAGTGGATCCTAGCAGACACGTTAGTGTTTTTTAACTCTTCTATCAATCCTTTTCTTTATTGCTGGCGTCTCCGTGAGCTTCGAACAGCTGTAATTCAGACAACAGAGACGTGTTTCTGTAAATCGACAGAACAAAACTAGCTGATTAGGGATATGATTACCGGGAAATAAACTCCTTAGTGGGAACGACAATGAACAGCCTTAGAAGAGTCATGCTGAATGAAAATTCGCCATGGAAATAATACCCAAAAACTAGAAGGTCAAGTAACAGAAGCGGCAGTTTCAGCGGCAGCGCAGCATTCAAATGCGGATTGTTGCTTCAACGCTACTGAAATTTTTAGTATTCAGACAGGCGAGCAAAGTGTGATGCTCTGGGAATAAAAACTTTTAGGGGCCTTTTACATTACTGAATGAGTTTTGTACAAGAATGAGTTCATACCGGTTACCGCATAATAACCAGCGTAAAATTTATTCGAAACGAGTCATTTCTGAGTGAGTTTATTGGGGTTTTCATTACAGAACGAAACACTCATTCCGGACGACCTTTCCCACCTGTGAAATATAAACGCGGCACGGCTCTCATATTTGTATGAATCCTCTGTGGGAGCGAGGGAAGCATTGAAAAAGACAGAAAAAGACATAAACACTTGTTTTTACAGGCTAATTGTTGCCACTCCCTCACGTATAAGACTTAAGTACCTTTTATAATTTCATAGCGGTCGTTTTCGAAATTCCAGGCGCGCACCCCCGCCCTCTTGTGTAAAAGGTGCCCCTTGGCTGCTGATACGTGCAGCACACAAAATTATTTCTCGAAAACTAAAGTATATTTTCACAAAAAAACTACACCACAATTATTAGAACATATTGGGCTACAAAATATGAAAGTAGGAGAGAAAACGAATTTCGGGCGACTTGCCACAATATTTCAAATTTGTTCGATGGATGCTGACATCCTCTCTTAAGTTAAATTTTACTAGTTCGTATTTGGCTTCTCTCCCGATTAAGTAATCATGAATTTACAAACAAAAACATATTAGTTTGCTTGGTTTGTTTTCTCAAGATTCACCGAATTGTTCGTCGGCATCAGTTGCAAATTCATGTTCAACAAAAGGCAGTGGAAAATTCAATTGATTCAAATAAACCTGCTGGCAGCAAACACGACAATCAACTAAGAGTGCAAAAACTGTTTTCATGTATTTCGTCGTCATGATTTTATGCTACACTCCATCATTTTTTGTTTCCATATCGTGTTTGTTGCAAACCATGCAAGATTTTTTTCCTTCTTACTAACCACTGAAAGCTTAATTTGTCCTCAAGCAATACAATGTTAGAGCTAAAAACATTGAACATCGCTATACCCTGATGCAATCATGACACACGGAATTTTATATTAGTTTTTTTTCGACATTTTATTGTCAAAGGTCCCTTTTACCTTCTAGGGGATCTTAATTTCACATCTCCTCTTTCCTTCTCTTTACTTTAACGTTTAAGCTTTCGACCAAAATCTTTCTTAAGGACCCCGCTTTTCTTGCTTAACTCAAGAATAGAAGATATTGATACTTGTGCGGGTTACAACGATCGGGGAACTTTTTCGAATGAACCCTTAGATTTTGTACAAGACCTTGCTAAAGATTTGTTTCGATTTAGTCCTAGATTAGAACTCTTTCATCCGTTTCTCTACAAAAAAAAAAGCCTCGCTGTTTTAAAAACTGCCGTTCTGAGCTCGGTCATACGCCAACAATACAAAAATTGGATTGATGAAGGAGTTCATGAATGCTACAGTGACTGGGAAAGTCTCTACAACTTTTAAATCTACACTAGTAAAACCCGAAATAATTACAACAATTGAAAATGGAGAGTAGCATAAAATCATCGCGATGAAATATATAAAAATATTTTTTGTACTCCTAGTTGATTGTCGTATTTGCTGTTTATCTGTTGAATTTTCCATCGGGGAACTTATCTTTGTACGTGTGTAGTTTCTCCTGTTTCCCAGTTTGGGTAAATAGTCAATATATGCAGATAAGTAGAATAATATTTTTAGATCCCTGGTAGTATTCGAGATCGTTTCACTTTAGTTTGAATTTTGTAAACTGCCTATTACAAATGTTTTCTACTCAACTAATGTTTTTACTGTCTAAAATTAAAAGAAAGACAACAGAGAAAGACAATCGCATTACTTAATGTCTTACTTTGTTTTCGTTAGTCGATTCTTCATCACTTTATTGAGAGAGAAGTCATACAAGGACAAGCAAAACTTAACCAGAAAAAAGTTACTCTACAATAACCTGTTCTGCTAGTGACGAGTAAATTTGAGGCAACTACTCGAACAACACTAATAAAAAATCAATCTCATTCTTAAGACTGTCATGATTTAATAACTCATCGTAAAGAAACCGTGAATGCTTCGATCAATCACCGGTATAACTTCTTCAACCTAACTGCTGTATTGTAGACCCAATTGTTTCGTTAACCGTCCATGATTTAAATGAAATTTGTTTTTCTGACCTTCATCGGATTGGCGGTACATCGAAAATTAAAAAGCATGAAGAGAAAAATTTAATAATTTTTTAGTCTCGAAACAAAAATATTTATCCTTCCTTGCAAACCAAACCACTCTGACCTCGTGTGCCATTTTCCTTCGTAACCTAAAGCTGAGAAGGTATTAAAGAGTTTAAAGTTTGATCTCTTTGAGAGTCCTTTAATCGAGAGGAAAGATAAAAGGAAAAAATAAGGCTGATACGGCTCCTTTGGATAAATTTGGGTACATTCAACCTGGGTGATTTTACACAATCTTAATTATGAAATTTTCACCTGGTCAAGTAAAATTTTTCAATTTTCAAGAGGATTCAAAAAAGTGTTTCATAGATATTATGACTTTTGCTACTGGTAATTACTTCTAAATTGCCAAGAAAGAATGCCAGACGCCACTGAGTCAAAGAGTACTTTTAACCGATGTCATTTACGTAAAAGATATTCTTTTACTTGGATGATAGCTCTTGGAAATGTCTCCTGATTCAATTGACCTTACATTTTGAGTAGTTCGTTTGAGGAAAAGCTAGCCCATATATCGTAGCACTAACCCTGCCACTCAATTAATGATTAACAACCAGACACAAACGCATTCTCAAGAGAATGCCTTTAATCATAATATTGTGTTTGTGCACAGTGGCTTTCTTCCCACGAATTCCAGACGCTTTTAACATTTCCAGTTCACGCGGGCGAAAACTGACAATCTTCTTAAGGAAGTGTCCTTTGCTTGTTCGTGAAAGCATAGAAATTAAGCCATGTTCATATGTTACGCAAAAAGGGAAAAAACATATACCAATAAACTGTTCTGTTTGATAACAGTATTGCTCCGGAAAAACACGAATTCACCCAAAGCTCCTTGTTATGCTTTTGGCAACCTCTAGTGATCTTGAAAATTTATAATTTAAAATTGTACGAAACCCATTCTGGGTATTTATCGACGTTGACATATTAATTATGCAAAACTTGATGGTGCCAGCAACGTTTCATGCCCTTTGCAAGACATTCAAAATGCTGCTTTCATTGCGACGACAAGTTAAACCCCTATACTGAATATATTATAACACCTGGATATTGTTATGGACGGGCCAATGTAAAGATCTTCCCAGCACTCACAAAAGATATGCTTTTGGCCGCCAATTTGAATTCACTTTTTACGAAGACCTCCGCGAATAACTGAGGGCAGGTGGAAATACAGCTTATACGTCAAAAGAGCTCGTTGATGCTCTGAGGCAGCTCCATTTAAGAGCAGTGAGGCAAGAAGACTGTATTAAAAATTCAAGTGAAGAAAAGTGTGAGGAGCAAGAATGGCTGATTCAATTGAAAGATACTTTTTTGGGAAAGATAGAAGTCCTGAAACCATAGTTGTCCTAAACAGTGTCCTAAATGCCCCCCCCCGCAATGGTTATCTCCATCATTGGCAACGTTTTGGTGCTCGTCGCCGTATCGAGAACGCCTTCGATCCGTTCATGCACAATTTTGCTGTGCAGTTTGACTCTGTCTGACCTTCTCGTTGGCCTGGTAGTTCAACCACTGTACCTTGCTGCTTTCTTAAAAAGAAATCGTTCTGTGCTTAACTCATCAACAACGTCTTTTATTGCAAGTGGTGCTTCTCTATTCACTATGACAGCCATAGCAGTGAATCGGTTCTTGGCCCTTCACGATCACATCCGATACGCAGCGTTAATGACTAGAAGTCGTGCCAAGTATTCTGTACTGGCCCTTTGGACCGCTGCCGCCTTGTTATCAAGCTCAGGTTTCCTGAATAGGAATGTCTATGAATCCACTGTAGCTGTTTTTGGTACAGCTATGGGTTCGCCCATCTCTGCTGTCATTGCCAAAATGGTAATGGAAGACGTGGAACAAAGGGCCTTCGCCACTGGTTAAACCCTTTTTCTGGAAACGTTATATCGATGACATGATGTTGTTTCTGCGGTATCCGGAAATGAAGCGGAGCGCATCCTATCGCATTTGAATTCAGTAGGGCAGTCCATCCAATTCACCCTTGAGCGTGAAAAGGATAGACATTTACCCTTTCTTGTTTTAAATGTGTCCAGAGGTGTTCAGGGGAATTTAGAGAAAAGTGTCTATCGTAAACCTACCTACACCCAATTTGTCATAAAAAGTCTGTAGCCAAAACTTTACTCAGGAGGGCTGACTGTCTACCATCTTCACTCGATTCGAAGGCTGGGGAGAGGAAATATGATTCTAATGTCTTAAAGGCGAATGGCTATACAAAAACCTTTCCCCGAAACTGCCAAAAACCAGTTACAACTACTAGCACTCCTGATGAAAGGGAACCAGCGACTGGTTTTGCTGTTATTCCTTACATTCGGGGTTTTACGGAACCCAGCAAGAGAATTTTGAATAGCTACAACGTTAAAGTTGCTAAAAAACCTTTGCAGACTTTGGGACATATTTTTGCCAAACCTAAGGGTCCTGTCACGAAAGAACAACGAACAGACGCCAGTTATTCCATTCCTTGCAACGACTGTGAATACATCGGACAGACCAAACGTTAGTATGGTACACGTTTCAAAGAGCATCAAAAAGCGGTTTTCTTTGGCAAAAAAAGAAAATTTAGCTTTATCGGAGCACACATGCCTGACTAACCATACAATTGGGTGGGATAAGTCTAAAATTCTCACCACTAATCGGCGTTACCACTAGCGCCTTTGTTTAGAAGCTTGGTATATCAACTCCGCCCACGCTCCTTTAAATCGTGATGATGGCGGCCTACTTCTGACGTCTATTTACACCTCGTCAGAAAAAAGGCAGCTAATTAGTGATCGTATAAGAGGACCTCTTATTGCAGCGTTTAGATCACCCATGATGAAGGCACTAGAAGTGTCGAAACGTTGGGTCTATAAATTGTAACTTCTTCGGTTACATTCATTAAATCTGTAAACCAGAGTAGCATAAAACCATTTCCAAACAAAAACACGTTAAGAAATCAATTAGATTCATCTGTTATTTCCGTACGTGAATAGCATCTTCTGTTTTCTATGTTTGGGTGAAAAAACATTTTAAGATCCTTCTAGTCTGAATGGAAGTATTCCAGATCATTTGCCTTAGTTTTAATTTTCAACTGCTTAAAACAGATGTTTTTTACGTTACTGAGGGTCTTAATGTCTCGACACACGACAAAGGGAAAAGCAAAGATCATTCACTTTTCCTGATGAAAGCTCGGAAAACTAAATTACCGTAGCATACCTCGATTGATTTACACGTCTTACTTTATTATTCACTTTATTTAAAACAAGCCTTCGTGTCACAGTTCATCAGTTTATCAATAGAGGCCAAACACGAACAAATAAAATATAACTTGAATGTGTCACCCATTTCTCTATTAACAGCATGGATAAAAGAAACCAATTTACTTTAAACGTCCTCTCCTTCAGCTCAAACTCCTCATTCAATGTCAAAACAGACTAATCGAATATGCTAAAGAGCTCGCATGTACATACTGGTCAGCTGAAATTGCCGCGGAAATAAATTTGTCGCCATGTGGTGAAAATTTACCTAACATAATGTCTATCAACAACTTTCCCTCTCAGTCAACCGATGAACTGAAAGTTTTCATTTACCTCAGCTACATTATATCCCTTTAAAATCTCGAGAAAAATGAGAGAAAACCTTGCACAGAGTATTTAAAAAAAACATATAACATTCATAGTTGTAGCATTGTGGGCTATATTTATTAACTTTCCTTCCCATTCAAATTACAGTCTGGCTCCACAACAAGTTCATAAAGTCCTTATTCGTGATATTTTTTTGGATCAATCAACTTGACAAACTCTACCAAATTCACGACAAACTCAAAAGCAAATTAAAAGTAAAGCAACAGAGGTAGAGTGATATTTATTTCACGGCCAAATAAATATAGAGAAAAGAGTATCACATTAATCGATTAAACTGCATAATAGTTCGTGTTCAAACGCGTCATAGTTGAGACAATCATCAACTATCATGACCATTTGCCTATTGTAAAAATGGTGTTAGCCTTAAATCTTTTAAACTGATGGTGCTTCTATAAGACGTTTGTTGTATACCATCTATGACTTTTTTCCTTTTTCCTAACCATTGAAAGCTTAATTTGTCCTCGAACAATACAATGTTAGAGCTAAAAGCATTGAACATCGCTATACCCTAATTTAACCATAACACACGGAATTTTATATTATTTTCTTTCGCCGCTTTATTATCAAAGGTCCCTCTTATCTTCGACGGGATTTAAATTTCATATCTCCTCTTTCCTTCTTTTTACTTTAAGTGAAGACTTTAAGCCAAAATCTTTCTTAAGGACCACTCTTTTCTAGGTTAACTCAAGAATACGAGATATTGATACTTGTGCGGGTGACAACGATCGGGGAACTTTGTTTTTAATGAACCCTTAGATTTTGTACAAGACCTTGCGAAAGATTTGTTTCGATTTAGTTCTAGGTTAGAACTCTCTAATCCGTTTCTCTACAAGAAAAAAGCTTCACTGTTTTAAAAACCGCCGCTCTGAGCTCGGTCATGCGCCAACAAAACAAAAATGGATTGATAGACGAGTTCATGAGTACTACAGTGAGTGAGAAAGTCGCTACAACTTTTAAATCTATACTAGTAAAACCTGAAATAAATACAGCAATTGAAAATGGAGAGTAACATAAAATCATCGCGAGGAAATATATAAAAATATTTTTTGCTTTCCTCGTTGATTGTCGTATTTGCTGTTTATTCGTATCAATTGAATTTTCCACTGCTTGTTGTTGAACATGAATTTGCAACTGATGCCGACGAACAATTCGGTAAATCTTGATGAAACAAACCAAGTTAACTAAAAGGCAAATTGTGATACCAAAAGTTGCAACAAAATAATGATAAATACTCGGCGACCAAATAAATGAAAAAGTGAATAACATGATAATACACCAAATAGTTACTATTGTATAGATTGCCCGGCTTGTTGTCCTTAAATTTGGGTACTGCAGGTGACAATGGAGAGCTAAGAAACGATCCACTGTTATGGCTGTCATCGTCCAAAGAGAAACACCGCACCCAGCAAATCCCATTGCTGTTACTGCCTCTTGTAGTGCTGAGACGGTTCTTACTATTTGTTGTGCTATATAAGCTGGTTGTACCACCAATCCCACAAGAAGATCTGTAACAGCCAAATTGCAGAGAAAAATGACAGAAGGTGAATGAATCGATGGCGTCCTCAATATGGCGACTAACACAAGAGCGTTACCAAGGATGGATAACAACATCAAAGGTGCATTGAGGATGCAGTTTGCCATAACTATTGTCTCAAAACCACTCTTGGGGTTAGCATCTGTGTTGCTGGAATAGTTCGCTTCAAATTTGCTTGTCATCATTGTGAAAATAATTAAAGGTTTTGTTCAGCGTTTGATGGAATATCTGATGGAAGGATAATGAAATTACTCATTTGAATATGGCCTTAGGGAAAAAAACAAACATTATTTTCGATTCAAATTAGGCCTCCTGTCAGAGAAGGTGTTTTCCACCTAATTTAGGCCATAATTGCATCTGCAAGTAACCTAATGAATTCACGGCGTTATTTGTGCGTTAAAGTGAGTGATAGTTGCAAAACGCTAACTGCTGAGTTATTATGGTTTAGCATTGGAGGAAGTGATCCGCATTTCTTTTAATCATAGCAGATAGGCCTTGATAATATGAATAAAAAAAGGTCATGAATAAGATCGCAGCGCACATTGAAAAGGGTGGGTGCAATTCCTTGGAGTATGCATTGATTTCCTGTTTTCTGTTTGACTGTAGATTCTATGGTATAATTTGAAGATTGTATTTCAAATTTTTCGTCGGCATAAGTTGCAAATTCACGTTCAACAAGAAGCAGTAAAACACTCAAGTGATACAAACAACCATCACATACGACAATCAACTAAGAGTGCAAAAAATATTTTCATATATTTCCTCGTCATGATTTTATGTTAAACTCCATCATTTTTTGTTTACGTTATTTCAGCTATTAATAATATAAAGTCGATAATTCTCTGGACCTTTCGGCTACTGCAGCGTTCATGAACATAATGTCGCATAAAACGAAGAGGTTCAGTTTGCGTCTCGGGACTCCATCAATAAATTCGCCCACCATGCTTTATATTAGCACTTTAACCCAGTCTTGCACTATTTGCGCAACCAATTCAACTGGTTCGCCGATCTCTCCTCTACTTAATTAGCCATCAAATATCCAATGCTTCATCTCAACCGTTTCAATTTCAATATGCTTGTCAGTTTCTCATGAATATGTTGAAGCTTTTTTCATCCAAAACAGTTATGGCTGGGAACGAAAAGAGTATTATCAGAATCATGACTTCAACAAATTGTGTAAAAATTAATGGATTTTTAACCAAAATGAAGTCGTTATGTATAACAGCCCACAACATTATAACTTTTCATAATGTGTTTCTTAAATAATTTCTGCATGATTTTGCTTTGAATTTACTATACTGAATATATTATAACGGATATTGTTACTGACGGACCAATACCCATTATAATGTAAAGAGGATCTTCCTAGCACTCACAAAAGATAAGTTTTTGGCCATCAATTTGAATTCACTTTAAACGAGGACCTTAGCGAATAAAAGAGGGCAGGTGGAAATACAGCTTATACGTCAAAAGAGCTTGCTGACGCTCTGAGCCAGCTCCATTTAAGAGCAGTGAGGTAAGAAGACAGTGTTAAAAATTCAAGTGAAGAAGGTGAGAGGAGCAAGAATGGCTGATTCATTTTTGATTTTGATGCTCGTCGCCGTATTAAGAACGCCTTCGATCCATTCGCCAAGCAAATTTTTGCTGTGCAGTTTGACTCTGTCTGACCTTCTCGTTGGCGTGGTAGTTCAATCACTGTACCTTGCTGCTTTCTTCGAAAGAAATCATTCTGTGCTTAACGCATCAAGAACAATGTCTTTTATTGCAAGTGGTGCTTCTCTATTCACTATGACAGCCACAGCTGGGGATCGGTTCTTAGCCCTCCACCATCACCTGCTATACACAGCGTTAATGACAACTAGTCATTACAAGTCATTGACGATTGGTGACCCTTAGGACTGCTGCCGCCATGTTATCAAGCTCAGGTTCCCTGACAACGTCCGGACAAAGAAGAGTAATCGCAAAAATCGTTCAAGATGTCCGAAAAGACGATACGAAATTGTGTATTTGTGAATTGGGTTGCTTGCATTGCTCTGCGGTATTCTTAATAACGTATTTTGTAATAGTCTACGAATTTATAATGAAGGTTGCGGCCTTTCATAATAGCTTTACGGATTTTGTAATAGGTATTGTAGCATTTTGTAACAAAAGCGAGCTACACATTTTATAGTAAGGGCTGTAGCGTTTCGTAATAACCGTTAGTCTATGCACTTTTTGTGACAATATCTTGACACAAATTGTAATGATTTGAACCCTGACTTTGCCTCAAAATTGTTCTGTATTGTGCGAAAGTAATGCAAACGATTATAGTAGAATACCGCACTATGTTCTTCTGAGATATTCCTGAGTCTCGGTCCAATTTTTCAATAACTGTTTGAGCAATATGTCCTTTTCTTCTTTAAAAAGCATAACTGATGATTGACAAATAGTAATTTAGAGGAGAGAGACCGCAAATATCCAATCTGTAGAATAATTCTGTGTAGCAAAACATACAAATACATTCCTCAAAATTTGAAATATTTATGGCAAGCATTCTTAATTGTGATAAACTAATTACACCAATGGGACTAACCCTTTACAACCTCACATTAGAATATATTTTCTCCACACTGTTCTCTTTAAATTTCCTATGGTACTGGTAAAGAGAATTTAACAATCAAGAGTTTCTTTAGTTGGTAATCGTTTCAGAGTGCGAAGAGATCCAAGCGTGGCACTTCTGGACAAAATTCAAAACACTGTAAGGAAACTGTAAAATGACGAACGGCGAATATATTTACCGTAAAACAGTTGACTATATGTCCAGGGTGGCTCTTGCACCAATGGGACTAACCCTTTACAACCTCACATTAGAACATATTTTCTCCACACTGTTCTCTTTACCTATGGTACCAAGAGAATTTAACAACCTTTAGTTGGTAATCGTTTCAGATTGAGAAGGACGATTTTAGAAGGTTTTCAGTGATCTGGGAATTTCGTGTGACAGGAAATTGGGTCGCGGCGCGCGTTGCATCAAAGTTGGAAATGAGCCTTTAATGTATTGATTATGGCTTCATGGTAACTCAAGTATTATAAATGATTTGTGACCTTTGGCGTAATGATCTCTGTCGTAGGTAAAGTATTAATAATGTGTTGGAGAGCAATTGAGGTATTTTGAATGATATTTTTAAGTCGTGTGTTGTTAAGAATGTATTGTTCGCGAGTTTATGTAACACAAGTGTATTAATCATTAATAATTAAAATAAGCCTATCTGTATCAATCAGCGAATATGTACTCAAATTGTTAAAGGGGTACCCACGAGGCTGGGGTCATTTGCTCAAATGCTATTTGCTTTTTGGTGTGAAACCGATTTCAATCTTGATGTAACTAAAAATCATTGTAACAAAAATATATCACACTTGGCCTCTTTTTTGAAAGTGAGGGTTTTCCAAAATCTGAAAGTGCTTGTTCAAATGACCATAGCGAAACACAATCCTGGACATGCTTCCAAATAACAAGCTGCACGATTCTGGAGCTTCTGCAGCTCATTCAGAAAGGCCAACACCACAGTTTCCTCAAACAACATTACAATAATGGAAATGTTTTCGAATTTAACTATTATTCTACACATCTAACAAAACATTAAAAGGCATAAGATGCCATCATTGAGTTTCACCCAAAACAGAAGCAATCTTTTTACAAATACTCTGTATGTGACATTCCCAGTTTAAGTTTTAGTCAACAAGAACCCCAACTAACTTGGCAGATGAAACATGCATTACTAGATGGTTGTTTATCACGCAAGATGGAATTTCTGGACCTCTGGCTGGACACACTTAATCTAAACTCGGTTTTCGTTAAGTTGAGGGTCAGTTTATTAGCTGATAGCGATGTGTATATCCTAGTAAAATCAGTCATTAAAGACAGTCAACGATAGTTTTAAAGGTTAGGCTGTCATCTGCATACATTCTAGGTTGTGAAAAATGCAAGCAATTTGGCAGGTCATTGATATACAATGAGAACACTAAAAGTCCTTTAATAGTTCCCTGAGGGACACCATAATTGACTAATTTTGGAGTTGACGGCATTAAGCACTTCAAAGTTGATTTGATTAGTCGATGAAAGTTTTACTAGTACACGGGATTAATTATGCCTGCAAATACCAAAAATGAAATAAAGAAATGCCTATTATTATTTAAACATAGGAAGATAAAAATGAATAAAAGGAACTTAAGATCTTTGCCGGTGATCAGAAAATAAAAAAGCTATAAATCATAAACAAAAGTGATATACTTCCTTTTCTTCGGTAAACTATGCTAACTCCAAAAAAATTAATGCTATTTCTCAGTTGCCTAATTACTCGTATTTTTCACAGTGTTCGACAACCTTTCGGTGGCGATGAAATTATCTAGCTCTCGACTCGACTTGTCTTCGTCGTACTCGTCTTTCCCATTCATCCCTTCGTCTTCCCCCAAAATCTCCAAGAAACCAACTCAAAAGTCTGGTATGCCTACTTTTGAGTTGTTCTTTCTCTTCGTTGCGTACTTGCCCTTTTAATGTGTTTCAAATTTTTCAAGAGACAATTTGGCGATCAAAGTAAACTTTTGAACTGAGTGGGCCGTACAGTGAAATACGGCCAACTAGAAAGACCAATCTTACCATAGAAAATACAGCCGATCAGAATACAGTACATATTCAATTGTATTGCACTTACCCTTCCCATCGTGCGCTACGATCTTACACACGGCCTTACTCATTCTTATCAATTATGTGACCATCAATTACAAGCTTCAATCTTCCCCCGGCAACTCCCCGCGCATTTTGAACTTTTGAAGATTGGTTCGTTAAAATTCTCGCCCCCCCCCCCTCCCTCCCACCCCACCCCGCAAAAATTGCGTTCAATTATCCCAACCGGGCACAATTTTTAAATAGAAGAATATGAGTGATCAAAGAATATTGTAGAATTTAGAAAAAGGCAGGTATTAGTTTCTGCTTTCACAGTTTGGTCTTTTGCTCGTAAGCATTATTCTATCATGTGAAAATTTTCTTCAAAGCCATTTGCTCACGACAGTAGACTCTCCAATTTATACTAAAAACAAAAATGTTCCCCTGGTTTACCCGCCCCACTTGAACCCAGACGAGGTTCAAATTTCCCACCCCCAGGGTACAAACGATGGTCAAATGCCTGTGGGTTGCCCGAGGGGGGGATGTTGAAGCTTCGATTTCATCGGCGCATAAGGCCCCGGTTGCAATTATGGCCTAAATAGGGTGGAAAACACCTTCGTTGACAGCAGGCCCAATTTGAATCTGAAATAATATTCGTTTTTTTACCTAAGGCCATACTCAAATGAGTGATCATTACCTATGGGCGGCCATCACCACCGAAAATACAAGGATATCAAATAGATCAGCGAATACAAAGCTGGTCTAAGGATCTCTTATCGTTGCAAAAAAAAAAGTTATAAGAACTAATCCTGACACTTCCCAGTTTAACTGTGGATAACCAGTTTAATTAGGGATGTCCTTTGCAGTTTTAATTTGTGTTCGTATAGGAGAAACACACGCTGCTCATCAACGCAGCTGGCCAGCACATCATTCGTCATGTCTAATTATCTAACATTTAAAACAAACATTCAAAAAGTCTAGATATCGACAATAGAAGATTGATATTCATTCGCAAACTCAGTCCGTCAAGTGCTCTTTATCATATTTCTGTTCTTTTAAGCATAACCTCTATCTTCCCTATAACTCCAGTGCGCCTGACCATATTGACGACAACCTGACTTGCAATAGAGATAGAGACCTCTGCTTGTTAATGAATGAATAGTAATTAAGCCAGAGATAACTTGGCCAGATGTTGCGTAAAACGAAACGGTTCAGTTTGCGTCTCGGGAATCTATCAATAAATTCGCCAGCTATGCTTTATATCAGCAATTTAACCCAGTCGGACCGTCCTGCACTATTTGCGCAACCAATTCAACTGGCTCGCCGATCTCTCCTCTACGTAACTGATTGGCCATCAAATATCCATTGCTTCGTCTCAACCGTTTTAATCTCAATACGCTTGTCAGTTTCTCATGAATATGTTCAAGCTTTTTTTACCCAACACAGTTATGGCTGGGAACAAAAAAGAGTATTATTGGAATAATTGTACGAAAATTAATAGATTTTTAACCAAAACGCCCACAACATAGCTTTGCATACTGTGTTTCTTAAATACTTTCTGCATGATTTTACTTTCTCTTTTCTCATAAGATAAAGTGACACTACATGGTAATGAATTCATTTTCGAGCCGATTTCTGCCAGTTGGAATATTCTATGCGAGTTCATTGCCATATTCATCGAGCTTTTTTACGTTCAAAGAAGAATTTTAAAACAAAGTAGAAGAGGTTTAGAGTAGAGTAGCTTCTTTCATCCTCGCTATTCATTAAAGACATAAGGTGACATTTAAGTTAAATTTTACTGGTTCGTGTTTGGCTTCTCTCTCGATTAAGTGATCATGAATTTACAAACAAAAACTTGTAAAAAAATCAACTAGATTCATCTGTTATTTCTGTACGTGAATAGCATCTTTTGTTTTCCATGTTTGGGTACAAAAACATTTTAAGATCCTTCTGGTCTGGATGGAAGTATTCGAGATCATCTGCCTTAGTATTAATTTTTTAACTCCTTATAACAGACGTTTTTTACGTTACTGAGGGTCTTGATATCTCGACACACGACGCAGGAAAGAGCAAACATTACTTACTTTATGCAAAACAAGCCTTCATGTGTCATTTCATCAGTTTATCGATAGAGGCCAAACACGAGCAAAGAAAATATACCTTAAATGTGTCACCCATATTTTCTAATTAACAGCATGGATAAAAGAAGCCGCAAACTCCTCATTCCTTTTTAAAATAGACGAATTAAATATGCTAAAGAGCTCGCATGTACTATGTACTCGCTAAAATTGCCGCGGAAATAAATTCATCGCCATGTGGTGAAAATTTACCTCACGTACTGTCTATCAACAACTTTCCCTCTCAGTCAGCCGATGAACTGAAAGCTACATCACATCCCCCCAAAATCTCGATAAAATAAAAGAAACTCTTTCTTTACGTTTTTTAGGACTGAGACGAAGTCGAAGACCCTTAAAACAGAGAAAAAAGAGGCTATTATTCAGCTATCTTGACCGAAAAAGCTTGGTCAATAAGGGTTTATCATATAACAAAATATTTCGCTTTGGTAAGAATCAAGACTGAATTATTTATTTCGAGAGCCAGTAAAGAAAGCCGAATGTGTTTTTGGCACACCAAACCAACAAGAAGATTTTATGTTTTCTTTGTTTTGACTGTCTCCTTCCGTTTTCTGGCGAGTTAATCACCGACGTTGCCCAAGAATTACGATACGTGTAAGTCCGCTCGGACTTGTGCACTTGTAAATGCTGCGATATTTTCACGGAATACAAAAGTTAAGACTGAAGTCAAAATTCTGCACCCACCCCACTTTTTTCTTTCAGTTTTTTTTTTTAAGTTCATTTGTTTATTTCCCATCTAATTTATTTGCTACCTAATTTATTTGCCACCTAATTTATTTGCTATCTAATTTATTTGCTATCTAATATAAACAGCATTGTATGGTGTCACTTTTCTATTTTTTACTCTTTTGATTATCTCCAATCCGTGCAAAGAGAAGGTTAAAACGCACAATGATGACAAGCAAATTTGAAGCAAACTATTCCAGTAACTCATCAGCTAACCATAAAATTGGTTTTGAGACAGTGGTAATTGCAAACTGCATCCTCAATGCACCTTTGATGTTGCTATCCATCATTGGTAACGCTCTTGTGTTAGTCGCCATATTGAAGACGCCATCGCTTCGTTCACCTTCCGTCATTTTTCTCTGCAATTTGGCTGTTTCAGATCTTCTTGTGGGATTGGTGGTACAACCAGTTTATATAGTAGAACAAATGGTAAAAACTGTTCCAAAACTACAAGAAGCAGTAGGAGGAATGGGATTTGCTGGGTGCGGTGTTTCTCTTTGGACGATGACAGCCATAACAGTGGATCGTTTCTTAGCTCTCCACTATCACCTGCGGTACCCAAATTTAATGACAACAAGCCGGGCAATCTATACAATAGTAACTATTTGGTGTATCATCACGTTATTCTCTTTTTCAGTTCTTTGGTCGCCGCGTATTCATTATTTTCTTGGAGCTTTTTGTATCACAATTTGCCTTTTAGTTTGCTTGGTTTGTTTTATCAAGATTTACCGAATTGTTCGCCGGCATCAGGTGCAAATTCACGTTCAACAACAAGCAGTGGAAAATTCAACTGATACAAATAAACAGCAAATACGACAATCAACAAAGAGTGCGAAAAATATCTTCATATATTTCCTCGTCATGATTTTATGCTACACTCCATTGTTTTTTGTTTATATTATTTTAATTAATAATTTAAACTCGATAGTTCTCCGGACCTTTCCGGTTACTGTAGCATTCATGAATTCGTCTATCAATCCATTTCTATATTGCTGGCGTACTCCCGAGCTCCGAAGGGCAGTTTTTAAATGCTACACTCCATTGTTTTTTGTTTATATTATTTTAATTAATAATTTAAACTCGATAGTTCTCCGGACCTTTCCGGTTACTGTAGCATTCATGAATTCGTCTATCAATCCATTTCTATATTGCTGGCGTACTCCCGAGCTCCGAAGGGCAGTTTTTAAAACAGCAAGGCTTTTATTTTGTAGAGAAATGGATTAAAGCGCTTCAACCTAGAAACAAGTCATTGTACAAAATCTAAATGTATTGTAGAAACAAAGTTCTCTTATCATTGTGACTCTTAAGGCTATGACATCGTAAGATATTTCAATTCGTGTTTTCGCGTTGATCAACCATCAGGTGATCCTTCCCGTTTTAGCCGAAGATCTGCACGAACAAAACCGAAAAAGAAAGAAGGAAAAGAAATGCGGCGAATTATAGTTCCCATAGACAATAAGGGTGAGCATGGATTTTGAAAAGGGGAAAGTAACAAATGAATTTTCTGCTCTATAATTATATGAAGGCGCACTAATTTTCAACACTTTTAGCTCTAAACGTTATTGTGAGAGGACAACTTTTGTAATATTATATACTAAACATAAATGTGACACTTATAAAGCCTGTATCAAATACCTTGATAAGGTCTAAAAAAAAATCAGTTGAAGTTGTTACGGATTAAAGCCCACAACATTTTAACTTTGCATATTGTGTTTCTTAAATACTTTCTGCATGATTTTTTGCCTCACGTTTTCCTTATTTATTATTATTATTTTTTTTTTTTGAGTACCGCACGATTGCCGGGTCAAATAGAAGACTTAGCTCTTCGTTTAACTAAAAGCCAAAGTCGTCGAAGGATATTTCATAAGGTACCACATAGTAATGAATTCATTTTCACGCCGATTTCTGCCAGTCGGAATGCACTGTGTGAGTTCATTGGCATATTGATCGAGCTTTCTTTTTACGTTCAAAGAATAATTTTAGAACAATTTTAGTGTAGGGGTAGTTTAGGGTAGCTTCTTTTATCCTCGCTATTAGAGGAGACACATTTGAGTTAAATTTTACTAGTTCGTGTTTGCCTCACTTCTCAGTGAGTGATAATGAATTTACAAACAAACCAGTTAGATTCATCTGTTATTTTTGTACGTGGAAAGCATCTTTTGTTTTCCACCTTTGGGTAAACAAAAACCTTTATTTCAGGTCATGTACGTATTAGCAGAAAACAATTTTGAGATCCTTCTAGTCTGGATGAAAGTATTAGTAACAACTTGTAACACAGATGTTTTCTACTTAACTGAAGGTCTTAATTTCTCGACACGTCATACAGGGAAAAGCAAACATTCTCAAATTTATTTAAAGAAAGTCTTCGTTTGTCAGTTCATCAGTTTATCGAACAAATAAAACATAACTGAAACATGTCATCCATATTCTCTAATTAACAGCAGGGATAAAAGAAACCAATTTACTTTAAACGTCCTCTCCTTCAGCTCAAACTCCTTATTCATTGTCAAAATAGACTAATTTAATATGCTAAAGAGCTCGCATGTACATACTGGTCGACTGAAATTGCCGCGGTAATAAATTAATCGCCATATGGTGAAAATTTACCTAACGTACCGTCTATCAACAACTTTCCCTCTCAGTCAACCGATGAACTGAAAGCTATAATTTACCCCAGCTACATTACATCCCTTTAAAATCTCTAGAGAATCAAGAGAAAACCTTACACAGAGTTTTAAAAAAACATATTCTATCTATAGTTGTAGCATTGTGGGTTATATTTATTGACTTTCCTTCCCTTTCAGTCTGGCTCCACAACAAGTTCATAAAGTCCTTATTTGTGATATTTTTTTTGGTTACTTGACAAACTCTGCCAAATTTGCGACAAACTTAAAGGCAAATTAAAAGTAAAGCAACAGAAGTAGAGCGATATATATTTCACGGCCAAATAAATATAGGGAAAGGACTACCACATCGATCAATAATGCATGATAGTTCGTGTTCAAATGCGCGTGATAGTAGAGACAATCGTCAGCTATCCTGACCGTTTGCCTATTGTTAAACTGAATGGCGTTAGCCTTAAATCCTCTTAACTGATGGTGTTTCCGAAAGGCGTTTGTTGTATACAATATGAGACTTTTTTCCTTTTTGCTAATCACTGAAAGCTTAATTTGTCCTCGAACAATACAATATTGGAGCTAAAAGCATTAAACATCGCGATACCCTGATTTAAATCACGACACACAGAATTTTATATCAGTTTCTTTCGCCGTTTTATTTTCAAAGGTCCCTCTTACCTTCGAGGAGATCTAAATTTTGTTTCTCCTCTTTCCTTCTTTTTGCTTTAACGTTTAAGCTTTTGGCCATAATCTTTCTTAAGCTATTCTTGCTTAACTCAAGAATACGAGATATTGATACATTTACGGGTTACAACGATCGGGGAACTCTTTCTAATGAACTCTTAGATTTTGTACAAGACCTTGCGAAAGATTTGTTTCGATTTAGTTCTAGGTTAGAGCTCCTTCATCCGTTTCCCTACAAGAAAAAAGCCTCGCTGCTTTGAAAACTGCCTCTCTGAGCTCGGTCATACGCCAACAATACAAAAATGGATTGATAAACGAGTTCATGAGTACAACAGTGAATGAGAAAGTCGGTATAACTTTTAAATCTACATTAATAGAACCTGAAATAATTACAACAATTGAAAATGGAGAGTAACATAAAATCATCGCGAGGAAATATATAAAAATATTTTTTGCATTCCACGTTGATTGTCGTATTTGCTGTGTATTTGTATCAGTTGAATTTTCTTTTTGTTGAATTGCTTGTTGTTGAACGTGAATTTGCAACTGATGCCGACGAACAATTAGGTGACTCTTGATGAAACAAACAAGTTAACTTAAAGGAAAATTGTGATACCAAAAGCTGAAACAAAATAATGATAAACACTCGGCGACCAAATAAATAAAAAAGAGAATAAGGTGATAATACACCAAATAGTTACTATTGTATAGATTGCCCGGCTTGTTGTCATTAAATTTGGGTACTGCAGGTGATAGTGGAGAGCTAAGAAACGATCCACTGTTATGGCTGTCATCGTCCAAAGAGAAACACCGCACCCAGCAAATCCCATTGCTCTTACTGCTTTTGGTAGTGCTGAGACGGTTCTTACTATTTTTTCTGCTATATAAGCTGGTTGTACCACCCATCCCACAAGTAGATCTGAAACAGCCAAATTGCAGAGAAAAATGACAGACGGTGAACGAATCGATGGTGTCCTCAATATGGCGACTAACACAAGAGCGTTACCAATGATGGATAGCAACATCAAAGATGCATTGAGGATGCAGTTTGCTGTAACTACTGTCTCAAAACCACTCTTGGGGTTAGCTTCTGTGTTGCTGGAATAGTTCGCCTCAAATTTGCTTGTCATCATTGTGAAAATAATTGAAGGTTTTGCTCAGCGTTTGATGGAATATCTGATGGAAGGATAGTGATAACTCATTTGAATATGGCCTTGGGGAAAAAAACAAATACTGTTTAAGAGTAAAATTGGGTTTCCTGTCAGAAGGTGTTTTCCACCTAATTCAGGCCATAATTATATCTGCAAGTAACCAAATGAATTCATGGCGTTATTCGTGCGTTAAAGTGAGTGATAGTTGCAAAAAGCGAACTGCTAAGTTTTTACGGTTTAGCATTGGAGGAAGTGATCCGCATTTCTTTTAATCATAGCAATGGGTCTTGTTAGTATGAATAAAAAAGGTCATAAATAAGATCGCAGTGCACATTGATAATGGTGCGTACAATTCCGTGGAATATGCAAATAATTTCCTGTTTTCTCTTAAACTGTCTATTCTATGTTATGGTTTGAAAATTGTATTTCAGAAAGAAGCTGAAAACTACCAACAAGAGACTCTAGAAACCTTAACTATAATTACAAAGTATAAAAGAATTTAATATCCAGAGGAAAACGATAACTTGCTGTCTTCGTTTCTCTTATTATTTCAATTTATATTCATCTGTTATTTTTGTACGTGTGAAGTTCCTTCTGTTTCTCAGTTTGGGTAAAAAGTCAATATATGCAGATTACCTGCAGATTAGCATAATAACATTTTGAGATCCCTCTCATTCGGTTGGATGTATTCGAGATGGTTTCAGTTTAGTTTGAATTTTTTTAACTGCCTATTACAGATGTTTTACTTCTCAGTTAATATTCTCAATGTGTAGACACATGACTCAGAGAAAAACAACATTACTTAATGTCTTACTTTGGTTTCGTTTCTCAATTCTTCTCCACTCTATTAAGAGAGAAGCCATGCAAGGAGAAGCAAAACTTAACCAGAAGAAGTTACTCTACAATAACCTGCTCTCCTTTGTTTTTTAACTCTTCCTTCAACGTTAAAATAGCTTGATAAATATGCCAATGAAAACGCACCGCGCAACCCGTTTGGCTGAAATTGACGAGGAAATAAATTCACGACCATATGGTAATATTATTTACTAAGTGACTGAGTGGGAGGGCCGCACGCGAAAATATTGGACCCAAGGTCATGAAGTACGGACCGAGCACAGCGAGGCTCGTGCATTATGACCAAAGCAACAAACTTGCACTCTATTTGCAATTCTACTCAGTCCTCGTCGGTAATGTAAAGACCTTTGGCTGAGACCTTTCCAAATGATCACCTGCCGGTTGATCAACAAGAGGAAACGAATTCAAATGCCTCACGATGTCGTAACTGTGTGGGTCACAACAGTCATAGGACTTTTTTTCTGCAGGGAAGACTCTAAGATTATATATGTGTTATCGACAAAGCGTGAGGTCAAGATGGCCGGATATCACCCGACTTCTTCCTTTGCTTTTTTTATGGACCGAGACGAAACGGAGAAAAAAGAAGCTATTATTCAGCTATCTTGACCGAAAAAGCTTGGTCAATAAGGGTTTATCATACAGCAAAAATATTTCGCTTTGGTAAGAATCAAGACTGGATTATTTATTTCGAGAGCCAGGAGAGAATGCCAAATGTGTTTTTAGCACACCAAACCAACGAGAAGATTTGATGTTTTCTTTGCTTTAACCGTATCCTGTCGTGTTTTTGCCAATTAATCACCGAAGTTGCCTGAGAATTACGATACGAGTAAGTCCGCTCGGACTTGTGCACTTATAAATGCTGCGATATTTTCACGATATTATCACGTTATTCTCTTTTTCATTTACTCGGTCGCCGAGTTTTCATTACTTTCCTGCAGCCTTTTGTATCACAATTTGCTTTTTAGTTTGCTTGGTTTGTTTCATCAAGATTTACCGAATTGTTCATCGGCATCAGTCGCAAATTCGCGTTCAACAACAAGCACTGGAAAATTCATCTGATACAAATAAACCGCAAATACCGCAATCAACAAAGAGTGCAAAAAGTATTTTCATATATTTCCTCGTCATGATTTTATGCAACACTCCATCATTTTTTGTTCATATTATTTCAGCCATAAATAATCTAAACTCGATAATTCTCTGGACCTTTCCGGTTACTGTAGTGTTCGTGAACTCGTCTATCAATCCATTTCTATATTGCTGGCTTATTCCCGAGCTCCGAACGGCAGTTTTTCAAACAGCGAGGCTTTTATCTTGTAGAGAAATGGATTAAACGTAAACTCAGTCCGTCAAGTGCTCTTCATCATATTTCTGTTCTTTTAAGCATAACCTCTTTCTTCCCCTCGAACTCCAGTCGTTTTTAACAGCGCTTGACCTTGTTGACGACAACCCGACTGACAATAGAAATAGAGTCCTCCGCTTGCTAATGAATGCATAGTAATTAATTATAAGCCAAAGATAACTTGGCCAGATGTCGCATTAAACGAAAAGGTTCAGTTTGCGTCTCGGGACTCCATCAACATATTCGCCAGCCATGCTTTATATCAGCAATTTAATCCAATCGGACCGTCTTGCTCTATTTGCGCAACCAACTGGTTCGCCGATCTCTCCTCTACATATTGGCCATCAAATATCCATTGCTTCATCTCAACCGTTTTAATTTCAATATGCTTGTCAGTTTCTCATGAATATGTTTAAGCTCTTTTTATCCAACACAGTTATGGCTTATGGTTATTCTAAACGTCCTCTCCTTCAGCTCAAACTCCTTATTCAAAGTCAAAATAGACTAATATGCTAAAGAGCTCGTATGTACATATTAATCGGCTGAGATTGCCGCGGAAATAAATTCGTCGCCATGTGGTAAAAATTTACCTAACGTACTGTCTATCAACAACTTTCCCTCTGAGTCAACCGATGAATTGAAAGTCTTAATTTACCCCAACTACATTATATCCCTTTAAAATCTCGAGAAAAATAAGAGAAAACCTGGCACAGAGTATCCAAAAAAAAACACATTATATTCATAGTTGTAGCATTGTGGGTTATATTTATATATATTTTTCCGACCAAAGAATTGAAAAAGAGAATAACGTGATAATACACCAAATAGTTATTATTGTATAGATTGCCCGGCTTGTTGTCATAATAAATACTTTCGGCACGATTTTGCCTCGCTTTCCTCTTGTTTTTTTACGTAACGTACGATTGCCGTGGTCAAATAGAAGACTTAGTTCTTCGTTTAACTGAAAGCGAAAGCCGTTGAAGGACATCTCATAGCATAAAGTATTACCACATAGTAATGAATTCATTTTCACGCCGTTTTCAGCCAGTTGGAATATACTATGCGATTTCATTGCCATATTGACTGAGCTTTTTTTACGTTCGAAGAAGAATTTTAAAACAAAGAAGAAGAGGTTTAGAGTAGAGAAGCTTCTTTTATCCTCGCTATTGATTAAAGACATAAGGTGACACATTTAAGTTAAATTTTGCTAGTTCGTGTTTAGCTTCTCTCTCGATTGAGTGATCATGAATTTACAAACAAAAACATGTTAAAAAATCAATTAGATTCATCTGTTATTTCTGTACGTGAATAGCATCTTCTGTTTTACATGTTTGGGCAGAAAAACACTTAAAGATTCTTCTGGTCTAGATGGAAGTATTCGAGATCATTTGCCTTAGTTTTAATTTTTTAATTATATCCCTTTAAAACCTCGATATAAATAAAAGAAAACCTGGAGCAGAGTATTAAAAAAACATTATATTCATAGTCGTAGCATTGTGGTTTATATTTATTTACTTTCATTCTCTTTTAAGTAACACTCTGGCTCCACAACGAGTTCATTGGATTAATCAACTTGACAAACTCTACAAAATTCATGACAAACTTAAAGGCAAATTAAAAATAAAGCACCAGAAATAGAGCGATATATATTTTACGGTCTAAATTTCATTTCTCTCCTTTCCCTCTTTTCACTTTAATGTTTAAGCTTTCGGCCAAAATCTTTCTTAAGGACCCCCCTTTTCGTGCTTAACTCAAGAATACGAGATATTGATACATGTGCGGGTGACAACGATCGGGGAACTTTGTTTTCTACTGAACCCTTATATTTTGTACAAGACCTTGCGAAAGATTTGTTTCGATTTATTCCTAGGTTAGAGCTCTTTCATCCGTTTGTCTGCAAGAAAAAAGCTTCACTGTTTTAAAAACTGCCGTTCTGAGCTCGGTCATTCGCCAACAATACAAAAATGGATTGATAGACGAGTTCATGAGTACTACAGTGAATGGGAAAGTCTGTAAAACTTTGAAATCTACACTAGTAAAACCAGAAATAATTACAACAATTGAAAATGGAGAGTAACATAAAATCATCGCGAGGAAATATATAAAAATATTTTTTGCACTCCTAGTTGATTGTCGTATGTGATGGTTTTTTGCATCAGTTGAATTTTCCACTGCTTGTTGTTGAACGTGAATTTGCAACTGATGCCGACGAACAATTCGGTAAATCTTGATGAAACAAACCAAGCAAAGTAAAAGGCAAATTGTGATACAAAAAGCTGTCAGAAAATAATAAATACGCTGCGACCAAAGAATTGAAAAAGAGAATAACGTGATATTACACCAAAGAGTTACTATTGTATAGATTGCCCGGCTTGTTGTCATTAAATTTGGGTACTGCAGGTGATAGTGGAGAGCTAAGAAACGATCCACTGTTATGGCTGTTATCGTCCAAAGAGAGACACCGCACATGGCAAATCCCATTGCTCCTACTGCTTCTGATAGTGTTGGAACGGTTCTTGCTATTTGTTCTGCTATATAAGTTGGTTGTACTACCAATCCCACCAGAAAATCTGTAACAGCCAAATTGCA